TTTGTTTATCCCTTAACCAATTGGTGGACATATGGATTGATTCCTGTTGGACTATTATGAATGACGTTTCTGTGAATGTTCTCATCCAAATCTTTGCATGGACATATATTTTTATTTGTCTTGTGTAAATATCAAGGAGTGGAATGGCTGCATTCTATGGTGCCTATGTGTTTATAAGAAACCTCCACACTGTCTTTTTTTTTCTTAAGATTTTATTTATTTATTTGATAGAGACACAGTGAGAGAGGGAACACAAGCAGGGGGAGTGGAAGAGAGAGAAGCAGGCTTCCAACTGAGCCCGATGTGGGGCTCGATCCCAGGACCGTGGGATCATGACCTGAGCTGAAGGCAGATGCTTAGCAACTGAGCCACCCAGGTGTCCCCAGAAACCTCCACACTGTCTTCTAAAGTGGCTGCACCATTTTGCCATTTTGCCACCCCTACCCACAATGAGTTCTAGTTGCCCTGCATCCTTACCAATACTTGGCATTGCCAGTCTTACTGGTGTCAGCCATTCTGGGGGATGTGTCGTGGTTTCTCATCATGGCTTTTCTCAAATCCGTGTCATGTATTTATTGCCATTCATTTATCTTCTTCGATGATGTGTCTGTTCAAACTTTTTGCCCATTTGTTAAAGTGGATTTTGTTTTCTTACTATTGAGTTGTAAGCTGTCTTTGTAAATTCTGGATAGACATCTCTTATTGCATACATGATTTTTCAAATACTTTGTCCTAGTCCATTACTTGTCTTTTTATTTCCTTAAGTGTCTTTAAAGAGTAGAATTTCAATTTTGATGAAATTCAGCCTTTTCGTGTCTTATCTCACAAAATCTTTGCCTATCCCAGTGTCACTAAGATGTTCTCCCACAGTTTCTTCTAGAATTTTATTTTAGATGTAAGTCTTACATTTAGGTTTGTGACCCACTTTAAGTTAACTTATTAATATGGCGTGAAGTAAGGGTTGAGCTTCATTTATTTATTTGTTTGCTTTTGTATGTGGATGTTTGGTTGTTCTGGCACTGTTAAAAAGACTTTTTTCCCCCATCTAATTACCTTGGTACCTCGGTAGAAAATCAGTTGTTTTCTACCGTGCCTGGATGGCTCTTTTTCTGGACTCTTCTTTTTTTTCCCCCATTCACCTGTATTTCTATTCTTATTCCAATACCACACTGATGTATTTACTACAGCCTTATACTGAGTCTTGAAATCAGTTACTGTGAATCCTCCAACTTGTTTTTTTTCTCAGAATGGTTTTTGATTATTGTAGGTCCTCTGTATTTCCATATAAGGTTTACAATCAGCTCGTCCAGTTCTATACACACAGAAGTCTGCTGGGATTTTGCTTGGCATTGTTCTGACTCCATAGATCACTTTGAGAATTGACATCTTAGCAATGCAGAGTTTTCTGGCCCTTGTGTAGATCTCCCTTCATTTCTATGCTCCATTTCAATTTCTTTCTGCAATGTTTTTTCCTCTCCGCATACAGATATTGCATGTGCCGTGTGAAATGTATCTGTGAGTATTGAATACATTTGATGCTATTGCAATGGTATTTTTATTTCAAGTACAAATTGTCCATTGCTAGGATATAGAAACTTAGTTGATTTTTTTTTTAATCTTGCATCTTGTGACATTGCTGCTTAATTTGCTAATTAGTTTTAGTAGCTTTATGATACATTCCTTAGGGCTTTTTACATAGAAAATCAGTTCTTTTTGGATGAAGAAAGTTTTACTTACTCCTTTCCAATCTCTACACCTTTAATTTCTTTTTCTTGCCTTATTATCCTGGCTGGAATCTATAGTACAACACTGAGTAGAAGTGATGACAGACATTCTTTTCTTCCCAATCCTAAGGGGAGAGCACTCAGTCTTTACTACTAAGTGTGATGTTAGCTGAGATTTTTTTTTTAATAGATCCTCTGTAGGGAGGTAAGTATTTTTTAACTGGATATATTGCTGCCCAAAGCTATTGGGGATTTTTCTAGAAAAGTAGAAGGGAGAATGGACATGGGCATCCATCAAAAGGGAGGCCAGCAGGGGTTTCTTTATGAGCTTGGCCCTGTCTTAACTGTGTGATGATTTATTAGGAAGTAAGCATTTATTTCCATTAGAGGTTTTAAGTGTAGAATATGGTTCACATTACATACGACCATATGTGACAATGCATCTTTATGAACTGTATTTGGGAGGGACAGGTGTTGCCCTGGAACCAACTCCCTATTAGTCCATTGGGAGGCAGTGTAGCTTGTGGTTACAAACATGGGCTCAGAAGCCTGGGTGCCCAGTCCCAATCCAGCTCTGCAACCTTGGGCAAATTCCTTAACCTGTGTCAGTTTTCCACCTGCAAAATGAAGGTATCAAAAGATGTCAGTAATTCCTACCTCTAGGGCTTCTGAAGACTCAATGAGCAAATGCAATTAAGAGCTTAAAATAGCGTCTGTTGTCTGGTACATTTTAAGAAGGTTTTAGTTTGCATAGGCTGAGTTACACACAGGTTTTCAGTAGCAGGCTGACTGCTTGAAGTAAAGAACAGCCATCCATTTAAAAAAAAAAATCCACTCTCCAGAAAACCTCTTATTAAGGTTTTATAAGGAGAGAGAGTTAAATACTTGATTTCTGTTGTTTTGCCTATTATTGGTGTAATCAATACATTTAAAAAATGTTGAACCCTGCATAGGCCATTATCAGCTGGGTTACTGTGGGCAATGAACCCCAGAGTTCACACTGGGTCTACACTTAAAGGCTAAACCAGTTTGACCTTCTGATCTGCTTGTTTTGACCACTTGACAGTGGGCTGGAATGGGACCCCACACACTGTTCTGAGCTGCCCCACCTGGACGTGTGGACCACTGTGCAGCCCCCAGTTGGCTTCAGCCTATTGTTTCTTCCCAGTAAACTCGAATTCAAGGAGACAGAGACTTCTCAGTCTGTCGCTTTCCCGAGCATCTGCCTTTCTGTCGACATGTTCCAAGTCCTGGGTACCATCCTTGGATGGGGGGATAAGTCATGCCAGCCTTCCTGTCTGGAGTGGGGTGCGAGGGGGCACCACTTGCCAGCAGGGACGAGGTTACATTGAACCTGCTCAAGTGGGTCCTGCTGCAGCACTGTGATGTTATCATATAAGGAAAAGCACTTAGGAGCAAGCTGGCAGGCCTTCAAGGGGCCTTTCCCCTTAACTTGAACTTGCCTTTTTTTTTTTCTTTGCCGTGTACTTTTTGAGGATGCAGTCACAACAAGTTTCATAAAGGGCCTTCTGCAGTGTTTTCTCATCTAAAGTCCCTTCTTCATGCAGGGTCTGTATTGTCCAATTAATTGTCTGTTTCTGGTTTTCTCTCGATCAGACCAGTGAAAGACTTAAGTGTATATGTTTAGATTTTTAAAACTGTAAGAGTGTTCTCAGTTCTGTTTGGACACCTCTGCACACTGTTTTACCCTTCTTCCCTTCTCCTTCCCATACAGTGTGGGGGGACAGCCCACTCACGTTTGGGAGAGCTGGTCCACCAGGTCCCAGCACGGATTTCCTGGTGTTTTACTCCGCAGTGTGATAGGGAGAGCTTGGGGACAGGAGTGTTTGGCCAGCTCTTGCCCTTACCTCTGCACAAGAGGTTCTCTGGCCCATTCCTTGAGACTTGCATTCTCTATCACACCTTTTCAGCTGTCATTTCGATACCAGCACCGAGAGATCCTGATTCAGGGACCGAGACAGACATTATCCTCGCGCTTGACTATCGTAAGACGCAGTTAGGTGGGGACTCCAAGGCACATGTGACATGGTCCTCCACACTGTGCCTGCTGCCACAGGTAATCATGCTAAATTATACATGGGTAGAGGCTTTCTGCAGTGCTGTTTTTCCACTGGAGCACAAAACACTCTGTTACAGGAGGGTTTTGACAAAGCAGGTCCTCCAGGCCCTGCAGGAACCAGGGAGCTGCAGGGGGCAGGGTACCTTCCAACCACAGGGTTCATTCCGCATGTGAGTTTAAAACAAATGGGAAGCAGATGCAGAGTCTGATTTTCTATCTGAGTGTTATTTCTTTGAGCAAAGACAAGGGCTGAAAATTTAAATATCAAACTGTTAGGTTTTCAAAACAAACAAACCAAAAAAAGGCAAGAAGAAACAAAGAAAAGTCAGAAGTGACAAATTCAACACTCCTCTCTGGTCAGATAAGAATCTGCCCTTAGCTCCACCGAAATGACTAACTGCCGGCTCTGTGATTAGGCATCTTTCTCTTTCTTTCTCTTTGTGTATTTTCTTCATTCTTATCTTCTAGTTCTCTTCCCTCACTTCTCACCAACCCCCTCCCCGCCAAAAATACAGCAAAGAACAAAGCAAAACAACTCTGTTCGTTGGAATGATTGAAAGAGCATCTTGCATGGGTTAGATTGACTAAAGGGACTGGTCAGATGAAGGGAGGACTCAGAGGTGTTGGGCGTACAGTTCCCACACTCCTGGGAGCTCCTCCCACACATCACACCGGGCCACTGCCAGATGCCCATTCTGGAGACCTCACTAGAGACCTCACGGGCATTCGAGAGAAACAACTTGAAAACAAATGGAAGTACCTGCCTTCAATGGAAGGAAGGAGGGAGGGACGGCAGGTTCATTTCACTGCAGATTAGACTTAATGCAGTTCCATCTGGGATTCACAGTTCTGCAGGCAGAGAGCACCCCGGGTAACACAGTGTCGCTTTACCTGTGTGCTCATTGTTCCCCATGCACTGTTACCTGGACACCTGTGTCATCTCGAGAGTGCGCAGCTGGTAGTGGTCATGTTTGCTGTGTGTGAGAAATTCCTACCAACGTAGAACCTGGACTCACAGTACACTGATGGCCTTTCTTCATCAACAAATTGCTTCTGTGGGTCCCGGAGGCCAGCCTTGCAACCTACCCAGGCTTCAGGTGGTACTAAAAATGTGCAAATTTGCCATCTGCCTTGCTTCTAAGTTCTGTTCTCTGGGAAGACCCTCAGTGGTTCCTTTCATTCTGTCCATTTGACAGGTGATGACCAAGAAAGAGGACTTTTTCAGTGCCTGGAACGCGTGTCTTCACCACGTTGCCTGCCTGTCTCTGGCACACATCCACAGAGGTCAGTTGGCTCTTGTTAAATATTTGTAATGGGGCAGCTCAGAGGGCTGCAAGGTGTCTGGGAATAAGACTGCAGATCAAGGACAGTCCCCACACCAGGCTGAGCCCCGTGCTGAATGTAGAGGCCCCCAAATAACTTAACCCCCAACTTACCAGGAACACTGACCAAATGACACCCACAAAACCCAACGCTAAGCTCCAGAAACAGTACCTCCGACACAACCCAAGAGTTGCCAACAGCACTTGTTTGACAGAAGCCAGCTAGCGAATGGCGGGCCCCTCAGCAGTGCCCCTCTGCCCAACAGGGACTGCCGTTCCCCTGTAAACAAACCGGAGGGTACCCACACTGGTAAAGGGAAGGCGTTCTAATAGGATCCCTGCCTGAAGTATTTCAAGTACCACAACTAACTACTTAAACCTAATCCTCAAATTAGCCAGAAACTGGTTCAACCTTTTAAAGCGGTGGCTCTCAAGCCCTCCTGGGAACATTTAGCGACATCTGGAGACATTTTTTGTTGCCACAACTGAGCAGGGGTTGCTGGTGGACAGAGGCCAGGGACGCTACTAAACACCCCCCAGGCTGTAAACAGCACCCACAGCAGAGAGCTCTCCCGCCTCCGTGTCAATAGCGCCTACACTGAGAAAACGTGAGTGACCATTTTGACCTGAACAGACCCAAATCACAAAAAATAAAAGAAACTTTGAAAACAGAGTATGATCCATCAAGATATGGCAAATTGTTCCTGAAAATTTTGTGTAGCATCAAGAATCATTTGTTCATTCATCATAAACTCTTACTCCAGGGGGGAAGGTCTTAAAGGGAGAAGACTGTCACTGGGCTTGTGTGCCGTGTGGGCTTTTCCATCCCACCGAGGTCACAGCTGGCCCTGGGAAGGCAGGGTCAGGTTTGGTCACCACCACAGCTCTAGGGCCTGGCTCCCAGTCCTGGCATGTCCTTGGGCACCATCTCGTGGGGTAGAATTCCTGGAGGGGTTCTGTTAAGGGTCAAGTCAGCAACCCAGGAGTGCCGGCATCCCACCTGCCTCACAGCCTGACTACCACCTTCCCTCCCAAGCCAAGCAGTACTAGGAGAGGAGAGCGCCATGTTGTTAGTCACTATGGGGTGGCCGGACCCGTCCCCAAGAGCTGGCAAGAGCCAGACTGGGGTGAGTAGGCTGAGCCTGGCCTCAAGGCGCAGCCCAGGGCTTGGGACCGTGATGAGCCTCATGACACAGGGCTCAGGAGTGTGGACAGGAATGAGAACACACAAGTGATTATGCCCAAAGCATGCGTTCCTCATGGGGCCTCGGGGGCAACACACCGGGAGCAGCCTTTTTACACAGCGAGCCCCTCCAGGGGCTGAGAGGAGCAGAGGGAGGACAAAAGCTTCCCTCCCCACAGGTCATTAAGTCATAGGACTGAGTTCCCTCATCTGTGGATCCAGAAATTTTAATTTGTCTGCACACCCACAGTATATGAGGCTCAAGGGAATTGACTCACCTTAATCAAACTCAAAGGTAACAGCTGTATAATCCAGAATGCCAGTTTACTCATCACAAATGAGAACCCAACTGCTGAGACATTTGTACACGCTCCATCCCATGGAACTCTCCGTGTGGAATTCAGTGATAGAACATTGCAGAAGGTTGGACTGGACACCTCTTGGAGGAGCGTCTGAGTGTCCACGCTGGCCCGCCTGCCACAGAGGCTGGGTCCTGGAGCCCACAGGCTGCTGCTCCCTGGACGGTCTTGGTGTCCTCAGCACCAACTCAGCCCCTGAGAAATTTATGCAAACCTCCTTTCTTCTGTTGGTGGGGTGTTTTTTCAGATTTGTCCATCAGCTAAAACTTACCTGGCATATAAGGCAGCACAGGAGGCATCTTTACTGAAGGCAATTACGTCCCAGGCCTTTTTCTGCACTCTGTGTAGACGTGTATGGCTCTGCTCTCTGGGCTGCCTGTGGCCCCACCGCCTGGGCTCCTCCCCGTGCTTTTCCGAGTGCTGACCACAGATATCACCCTTCCCAGGGTACAAGCAGCAGCCAAGTGGACTCCAAGTGAAACACTTCTAAACATTAGGAGATGTGATTAAATGTGAAGGCAGGCATCAAAGAATCCCTGAACTCAAGCCTTTGCCTTGGAAACACTGACCATTATGCCTTGAACCACTCATCCTATCTGTCGAGAGCATAATTAAGTTTAGCGTGAGGGTTGAGAACTCGGGCTCCAGAGTCTGGTTAACTGAATGCAGAGACTTTATTTACCTCTACCTGCTGTGCAATGGTGGGTGAATTAATCAACCTCTCTGAGCTTTCATCTCGTCTTCATTTATAAAGTGGAGATAATGTGATATTTACCTCAGGGGGCTATTGAGAATATACTCAAAAGCCCTTATCTTAGCATCTGATCCATAGTTAGGGTTCAATAAAAAATTTTTATTACTGTTAATTACTGTTTTATTACTGTTAATTACTACTCTATAAAATCCTTAGTTCCCATTACCAAAGTGGAACATTTAGATCCTTGTTTCTTTTCTTTTAAAGATTTTATTTATCTATTTGACAGAGAGAGAGATCAGAAGTAGGCAGAGAGGCAGGCAGAGAGAGGGGGGAAGCAGGCTCCCTGCTCAGCACGGAGCCCAATGCAGGGCTTAATCCCAGGACTCTGGGATCATGACCTGAGCCAAAGGCAGAGGCTTTAACCCACTGAGCCACCCAGGCGCCCCAGATCCTTGTTTCTTAAGCATAAGAACAAGAAGACAATTTAAGCAAGTTAGGTTCCAGTGCAGGAAGTCTTAACATGGACAGGCAACATCACAGATTTAATATTGCCACAGCATAAAAGAAATCTGAATGGACTCCCTACCTTTTATTAGCTAATAGCCACAGTAGCAAAAGTGATTATTTTCAGGAAATTGGCCCCTATCAGGGTTAGAGGAAGACAGTTTGGCTGTAGAAAGTAACAGAAGAAAAAATAAGAAGAATTAGTTCAACAACAACCTCTAGAATGCCCAGGAATGTTTTGAGATAGAGAAAGTCATCCATAATGAGGAGGTCTGAACAGATAAGGAATGGGTTCTTGCGGTAGGACCGCGCCGAGCACACACTGCACAGGGACAGTTCCGTCAGCATGTCATGACATTTAAATAGCATGCTGCGCCACTGCCAGAGGTCCCCAGGGGTTGGGAGAAGAAGTAGAAGGAGCCCATCTGTCTTCAGTGACCAGGCCCAGATGTTGCCTTTAGAGACTTTCAAAGAAAGAGCACAAAGGAGGAAAGGGAAGGATCAGTCCGTGAAAGCACAGACCTGAACGTCACCCCACATGAAAATGAACTCAGAATCTAGCCATTTTTATTAGGAACAAATCGGGGGGGGGGGGACCTTCTGGCATCAGTATTCGTTGTCACCTGAAGACTCGGGAAAACGTGTGTTTGAAATAAAAATGTTAAGCAGTCTCTAGTGGTTTCTGAAGTGGGATGTAACCATTACAATGATAAATTGTTATTTTTCTGTGATACACGTTTTTATCTTGCCCTAGAAAGAGCAGCTCCGAAGCACAGTGCGGTCTGAACCCCTCAGGGTGTACCGATTCCTAAACAAAAAAGAAACTAAGCACTTTTATTAAATAAGTCACATCCACTATTCTCCAGCTCCATGCAGAACTGTCTCTTGGTTTTTCCCTCCTCTGAGCTGTAAGGTGCTGTCATGCTGCAGAAGTCCCTTCTCCGGTTCTTAATAAAGTGACTAATAATTTAGAACGCTCGCATTAAGAGCACATTGTAATTATGATTAGAATATATAAGTAGTGTGGCTTTCTGCCTGTCAGAGGATTAATTTCAGACTCCTCTCAGGGACGATGTGTTTCCAAACAAGACTTTCTTTGTTAATAAAAATGTGGTCATGGGTGTTATCGCAGCATTCTTTCTGTATTTTCTCCATGAGTGCTTGCTCCAGTATCCTTCATGGGATCAGCATTTTTCGCCCCCATTTGTTAATGGGGCTGTTCTTTACACAAACTACATTCACCTCGATTTCGTTTTAGCTTTGACATTCATCTTCCAGGGAACGGGGGAATATGCTAACCCCCTCAATGAACGTGCATCTCGTTACTCGAGCTCAGAAAAATAAAATGCCCTAACTTCATCCGGGAGTCCTGTGTGGATTTAGGTCCTCATCGCCCCCCCCTTACACTCCACTGCAGAAGTGCCCCCAAGACCCTAAGTCCTCTGTATTTGAAGAGTGAGCCTGCCCTCTGGAGCAGAACTGAACTTGAAAGTTAACACACCTTATTTGAATACAGATTTCTGCACTGTGTTTGGCTGTTGTTGCCGGAGATGGAGGGCGGGCGGGCACCACAGGTATTGTGTGGGCTGGGACAACCTGTGTGCCTTCCTTTCCCGTGGGGACCCTCTGCTGGGTGGGACAATATTTAGAAGTAGTCCCAGCCTGCCCCGGCCGGTGGTGTGGGGTGGGAGGGAGGAGCTTTGGGTACCGCCGGCCCTGATGCTGACCTTCCTCTTTGTCTAGCACCCGTTAACCATGTGGGTGGTAGAAGCAGGTGAGGGGACCTAGAAAGCCAAGAATGGGCAGACACGATTTGCAGCAGCATCTTGGAGGCCCCAAGGGGGGAGAAAAAGACCATCTCCAGCTTTGTTCCCTCTGTCCCAGTCACATGACTAAAACTCAGACCCATTCATTTCTGAGAGCAGAAGGTGCAGTGGGGAGTCTAGGGTCCCCATTTCAGAGCACGAGACACCTGGGAGAGCCCACGCAACTGTTCCAGTCCTCTGCTGGAGTAGCTGGGTCCCTAAAGCCGGAAGTCTGGGACAGCAGAGAGGGGCCGTCTGGGATGCCAGGAGGTGGCAACAAACCAGAGAAAAGGAAGTGAGAATTCGCCTTCCCTGAGCTTGTGCAAGATTGCTCCGAGGGCCAGAGATGCGAGTGGACGCTCCTGCTGAGGGAGGTGTCCAATGAAAGGGAGAGAGTTTTAAGAAGGAGCATAG